CCTTCTGAGGAGTGGCTGGTGGGTTTGAACCGCCAGCCGTCTGGTTAGCAGGCAAGTGTCTTAGCCACTATGCTACCAGAGCTCCCTTTTGTAATATAGTTCATTCTTTTAGCCTACAGGCTAAATATTATAAAGTGGTTATTAAGCATATATACACTTACTTATCCTTCAGACCCTGATTGAGTCTACTTGGGATAGCTTAACTCTAGAACATCTGACAACGGTACATTACCTCTCTAAGCCTCAGGTTTTTCTCAGCTGAAAAGTGTATACACTGTTACCTCCTTCATAGGGTTGTTAAGATTAAAACACAACATCTAAAAGTTTTAAGCACTCAATGGTTCCACATGAGGCACATGACTTGTCTTCATCAGACATCGTACTCCCACACCCAGTCAATCACCATTCATTTATTCATTCTACAAATACTAAGTGCCTATTATAAAGGGAGGAGCTCTGGTAGCATAGTGGCTACAGCACTTGACTGCTAACCAGAAGGCTGGCGGTTCAAACCCACCAGCCACTCCTCGGAAGGAAGGTTGGGCAATCCTACTTCCGTAGTGATACTGCCTCGGAAACCCAAGAAGGGCTCGCTATGAGTCGGGGCCGACTCGATGGCACATAACAACAAAAACAACATTATAAAGGGAGCTCTGGGAGCTCTGGTAGCATAGTGGCTAAGGCACTTGACTGCTAACCAGAAGGCTGGCAGTACAAACCCACCAGCCATTCCTCGGAAGGAAGATGGGGCAATCTACTAGTGATACTGCCTGGGAAACCCAAGGAGGGGTTGCTATGAGTCTGGTCCGATTCCATGGCACATAACAACAACAACATTGTGAATAAGGACTCCTGTTGGCACAATGGTTAAGCATTTGGCTGTGAATCGAAAGGTCAACCACTCAAGCGCAGCCACTCTGCAGAAAAAAGATGAGGCAATCATGATCACCATGAGTCAGAATCAAGCAGTGAGTCCTTGCAGCAGTACAAACCCACCAGGAAATCCACGGAGGCAAATAATGGCAGTCCACTTCCCTAAGGATTTACAGCTTAGAAACTCTATGACTCTATGAGGCAGTTCTACTCTGTGGTATGGCAGGCTGCTGAACAATGACAAAGCTACATGCAGGGTCCAAGCGTGCCATAAGCTAGAGACCATTCCCAAGGCTTCTGCTTATATACAGGAAGCAGACCACATTCCCTAAGGAATGACAATGAGTCAATTGACTCAACAGCACTGGTTTTATTTAGGTTTGTTGGTGCTGTCATTAGGTGCCTTCAAGTCAGCTCCAACTCATCAACACTATATACAACATAACAAAACACTGCCTGGTCCTGAACCATGCTAACAGTCTTTGCTATGTTTGAGGCCATCTTTGTAGCCACTGTGTCAGTTAATCTTTTTGAGGGCCTTCACATTTTTTCACTGGCTCTCTACTTTACCAAGCATGATCTCCTTCTCGAGGGAATGGTCTCTTCTGACTACATAACCAAAATAGGTGAGAAAAGTCTGGCCATTCTGGCTTCCAAGGAACATTCTGGCTGCACTTCTTCCAGGACAGATTTGTGAACAAATCTGTAAAAAATAAAACAACAACAACAAAAAAAATCAAAGTTCGTGGTATTTTTGGTATTCTTCACCAACACCATAATTCAAAGGCATCAACTCTTCTTTGGTCTTCCTTTATTCACTGTCCAGCTTTCATATGCACATGAGGAGATTAGAAATACCATGCGTGGTAGTTCAGTTTGTGTCAACTTGGCTGGGCCTGGTTGAGTGGCTGGGCA